CATTAAAAAACAAAGAGACTGACTTGCTCATTTGTCTTACGCTCATTCGTAGGTAGTGTGAAACTGGCCTTAGAACTTAGATCTCCTGATTCTTAGTCCATTGCTGTATGTGCTGTATGTGCTTCCTGGATGCATTTTTTTTTTTTTTTTTTGAGACAGAGTCTCACTTTGTTGCCTTTGGTAGAGTGCTGTGGTATCACAGCTCACAGCAACCTCAAACTCTTGGGCTTAGCGATTTTCTTGCCTCAGCCTCCCAAGTAGCTCCAAGTAGGGACTACAGGCACCTGGCACAATGCCCAGCTGTTTTGTTGTTGTTTTTGTTGTCACTGTTGTTTAGCAGGCCTGGGCTGGGTTCTCATCTGTGTGTGGCTGACGCCCTAACCACTAAGCTACAGGCACTAAGCCTCCATCCCCTTCCTGACTTACATGCTATTGTTGTTTTTTTTTTTGAATGGTGATAACTTTTCATAGTTTTGTAGTGACAACACACCAATTTTCATGTGTACACACATTTAAATATAGTTATAGACCATAAATACCCATATGACAAAATATCTACCTCGGCAGAAAAAAACAAACATCTTTCCAACCAAATAAACAGCCTTAAGTAATACTGAGAAAAACAAATGGGAGGTAATTTTTCATCAAAAGTGACTTTTTACCGTAAAAATTCAAGTAGTTATAAAATCCTTGTCTCATAACTCAAAAATGGAACTTTAATACACACACATTTGTTTCAAATGAAACAAAAATACTTTGATTATAAATAGGTAAAAAATAAATAGTTACTTCTGCTGAAAATTCAATCATGCCACTATTTTCTGTATGTCTATATATGGGATTTTCATTGTGAGTAAGAAATGTCTGTCCCTTTTTTAATCAAAGTATATTCTAATTATGAACACATTATTTCTTTTAAAAGATCGCTTTTCACAGGATACACACTAATTAGTATTTTAATTTTAGGAACATTTGTAGAGTAAGTTAGCATCAGCTGAAAAGTTCTATTTTTTTCATTTTCCCTAGTTATACAAAATCCTCTTTTCTCATTTTATGTTCAGTGTGCAAGAGTTTGACTGGCCCCAAGTAATCCTCCAAATAAAATCCAATTTTTCTGAAGTTGTTTTCCAGTTTTCCACAGTTTCCATTTAACCCCAGGGAACACAATTAATGAAAGTCACCTGAACAGAAGCAATACAATTCAAATCAGAACAAACAAATTAACTTATTTTACATTACTGTGTAGTGACCTATACAATCAACATTCAATATAACATTCAGTGTTCTCAGAATGAAATCTGTCCTTTTAACAAGACAATATATATAAATCAAATAGTATACAGTGCTCGGGAGTTGGCACAGAAAAGTAAAACAAACAAACAAACAAACAAAACAAAGAAAAAACAACACTGAACTGTTTCTTTCAGCCTTAACCCTATTTTCAACTCCTTTTATACCAGGCTGGGCAATGACCTTCAGCAAAAATAACAGAATAATTCTCTAACTAAAAAAAGAAGTGTTATTAGATCCCTACTTTTAAGATTCTTTCATTCTTGTTGTCAAATAAACAAAGTAGTTTTATAATGTCATCCCCCCAAATGACAGATGAAAAACCCAACAGAATTTTGAGGTATTCCATCTTCAGTTTAAGGGCATCCACCAGCAAGTGAATGCTCCCTCCCTCTCATTCCTCTCAATTACAATGCGACCTCTCTTGGAATTTATGACATTGGTACCACTTGCACCCATTGTGGGAAACTTCCCTTTCGAAATGCAAAAGTGTTTTTTTGTTTGTTTGTTTGTTTGTTATGCAGAAGTTTTTGTTGCAGTCAGGTTTGGTTGCAGAAGAGTTTGGTTATCAGATTCAGAAGTTTCTCCCAGAAATTCAGTTTGTCTCCCAGTCTCCTCAGCTGAGCTGCACACTCCTCTTGGAGCTCAGTCCGCGCGGGGCTCGGTTGCGCGTTCTCACGCGCCTTCTTCCCGGCCATCTCGACAAGTGCAGCCGCGAACTCTGCAGCGGATCCCGGGTCTCAGTCTTCCACCTCGGGCGTCTGCAGGATGCGAAGCGCGCGCGGGCAGCCAGGCGGCGGGACGGGAATAAAGGAGAAGCACGAAGCTGCCAAGTGCGCCTAGTTGTGCCAGGAACCTCTGAGGTCCCCCATGCTATTGTTACTGTGTATTTTAATGTGTGTATATGCACATACGCACAATCATAAAGACGCTGTGGCTACATATGTATTACATTGTATTCATTTTCCTACATATTTACCTTTAAAAAAAAAAATTCATGTCTTTCTACATTCCTGATCTTCCATCTGTGACTATTTTCTTTTTGCTTGGAAGTGTCCTTTTAATAGTCCCTGTAGTGAAGGTCTACCAGTAATACATTTTCTCAGCTTTGTTTATGTGGAAACTCTCTTCTCACCTTCCTTCTTGATACATATTTCACTGGGCTCAGCACTCCCAATTGGTAGTTGTTTTCTTTTGGAACTTTTAAAGATATGCTAGGTCTTCGAGCATCTACTGTTTTTGTTTCTTTTTCTCTTTTTTTCATCCTTTAGCTGATACTTAGATTTTGTCTTTGTCTATGTTTTTTAACAATACTATGATATGGCCAAGAATGGGCTTCTTGTTATTTACTTGGGCCTTTTGGAGCTTCCAGAATCTATGGTTTACTGCCTTTTGCTTCTTTGGGGAACTGAAAGTCCACATCTCTTCGGATGCTCTTTCTGACTCATCACCTCCCGGCTCCTTCTGAGATTCCAACCTTCTTACTTTATTCTCGATGTCCCTTACCTTTTCTTTACTTTTCCTTTTTTTTTGTGCTCCATGCATTATTCTGTATGTTTTATTTCATCCTATGTTCTAAGTTTCCAGTTTTTTCTTCTGTTATGTCTAATTTGCCATTGAGTCCATCTAATGAATTCTTCATTTCAGAAATTGTGTTTTTTATTCTAGAATGTACATTTGGATTTTGTTTTTCCCAGTTCTCTGCAAAGATCCAAATTTACATCTTTTATTTCCATGAACACACTAGGCACAGTTATTTTAATGAGATGCCGTTGGTCTCTTCTTGCTCTTGTCTTGTCACTCTGTAGCCTGGTTATTTTCACCATTTTATCGGACATTACATTTGAAAACTGTAGAAATAAGTTGAGCCCTAAAGATTATGTTATTTTCCTACAAAGAAAATTTATGTTTGTTATTGTGTGGTGCCGGGGAGGACACTAACAGTCTAGAATCAACTCAATCCAATTACAGCAACTGAACTAATTTGGAGCTGAGCTGAGTCCCTGCGAAAGCCTATTTATATCCAGATCATCTGTCCTTTCACAATGCAGCCCTTTGGGGTCCCGATCAAAAGCTAGGAACGTTCAGCAGGCCAGTTCCCCCACTTGGGCAACCCTGACTGCACTCTGCCCTCGGCAACCCACTCTCCAGCGCCCAACAAGGGGCTAAGCTTCGCGGCCTCTGTCTTCTCCAGCATCCTGGCCCAGTTACTCTTCATTACCTCCTTGACGTTTTAATGCCTTCAAGAATGTATGTTTTATTTTCAATACAGCTTTTCTATTAACAGTTACCCTCAGTGGGAGAGGTGGTCCAAATTACCAAGTACATCATTACCAGAAATGGATTACCTCATTTTCATACTTGCTTCACTTTCTACATTCCTATCACGAATTTACTCCCAACCTGTGAGAGAAATACAAAGGTATTCCTAATACATTCTAACATGTCAGGTAACGTATCTGTTTTCCTTTCCTTCTTCTTCTTTTTTTTTTTTTTTTTTTTAAACATTCTCTATTCTGCCTTTCGTCTTGGGGAACCATTCCCTCTGGAGTCCTCTGACCTTCCTCTTATCTAGATTAGCTGCTTCCCATGCTCACTGCAGAATTCTTCTCTTGGAAATTGCTTTTGCCATTTTTCTGGAAGCCCCATAGCAGAGTCTAAGTTTCCTAAATGTAGCTCACTGTGAAACTGTGCATGGGCTCTCAATTTGTGGACACTTTGCATGCTTAAAAATGTTTTTATTCTATCTTTATCTTTAATTGATAATTTAGCTGAGCAGGAAATTATAGGTTATATACTGGAAGTATGCACTATGATCTTCTAGCTTCCAGTATTGCTACAGTCTCCTTTCTGGTTATTTGAAAGTGTCTGGTTTTCCCTCTCCTGAATCACTTGTCATCTTCTCCTTACAGTGAGATGCTCAAATTCCCTTTTGATATTGACATGCCATGATGTGTTCTGTTCATTCATTCATTCCCTCATTCACAGTGGAAAACTGATGAATCCTTTCAATCTAAAGACTAACAGCCTTCTGCAAAATTTTATAATACTTCTTTGGTAATTTCCCATTCTTCCTTTTATCATTTGCCAACATTTTGGAACTCCTATTACTCAGATGTTGGATCTCTTAGAGCTCATCTCTCATCTCTCTAATTTTAAAAAAATCTTTTCCTTCTCTCGTACCTAATTCCTTATCTTTTGTTCTACTTCCTGAAAGATGCTTTTTTCATTGAATCCTTCTAGCAAATTCATTTTAGCTATCCTGTTTTTAATTTCTAAAATATATATATATTAATTCTTGGAAAGTTTCTTTTTTTGTTGTTGTTGTTGAGGCAGACTTTTATTCTGTTGTCTAAACTAGAGTACACAGAATGTAGTGGTGTCATCATGCCTTACGGCAATCTCAAACTCCTGAGCTCCAATAAACCTCTTACCTCAGCCTCCTGAGTAGCTGGGACGACAAGCACATGTCACCAAGCCCAGTTATTTTTCTATTTTTTTGTATAGACAGGATTTCTCTCTCTTGCTCAGGCTGGTCACAAACTCCTGGCCTCAAGAAACCCTTTCACCTCCAGCTCCCAGACTGCTAGGATTGTAGGTGTGAGCCACCGTGTCACCAAAAGCCAACCAAAAGTTCCTTTTTTTAGTATCTTATTCTTTTTTCAAGATACAGCAGCTTTGGTTAGTTCTCTATTAAAAATACTAATTCTAGTTTGTTTGTTTTTTTAGATGTTTTATTCTGTTTTCTGCATCGCTTCCTCAGAGTTCTTATCTGTTACAAAAGCATATATAACTTCCATGGTTTTCATCAAATATCTGGCCATCTCCGCTATCTGCTGATTTTCAAGAGTGAGAATTTCAACCACACCTATTTTCAGGCTCAGCTATATCCACGCCTTCACAAGCACCTGATGCTTCCAATTCCTGAATCTTACTAAGCTTCTTCTGTGCAGATAAAGTTAGTTCTTGACCTCACCCTTGTTAGGCACTTGGCTTTTCTCTGGTCTAACTGCTTTATGTCTGACAAATTTTTACTGATATTTCTTATTTGCTGTCATTTATAGTTTCCTGCCCTTTATTTAGCCTTTCACTGATACATAATGAGATAGGAATACAAGCAACAGAGGAAAATGCGTATGTTCAATCTGTCCTTTTAACAAGAAATCTCCTGATAGTTATTTTTCAAACAAGGAATCTTTAAGAGTTTGCCTTCATCAAAAGCATTATCACCCTTAAGCCTTTCCTTTCATAATCACTCTTTTATTGGCATCCAGTTTGTATCATTTGCTTACTCTGATCACTGGAATAGTGTTTTTTCAGGTTTAAGAGGGAACAGAGATAGTAAAAGAAAGAAAACACTCAGCTAGCTACTGCCTTACCCAAGAAGCTATCAGATGAAGTCAACTGGCTTTGGGTACTATTTCAAGATCTGATCAATACAACCCTCATCTTTGGAATATTCAAAAGAAACAAAAACAGGGGAGATAAAAAAATAGAGATAGAGGCTCAGCATCTGTAGTTCAGTAGTTAGGGAGCTGGCTCTATACACAGGGCTGGCGGGTTAGAAGCAGGCCCAGGCCTGCTAAACAACAATGACAACTACAACAAAAACAACACAAAAATAGCTGGGCGTTGCAGTGGGTGCCTATAGTACCAGTTACTTGGGAGGCTGAGGCAAGAGAATCACTTAAACCTAAGAGTTTGAGGTTGCTGTGAGCTGTCATATGACTGCACTCTACCCAGGCCAACAAAGTGAGACTCTGTCTCAAAAAAAAAAAAAGAGAGAGAGAGAGAGATAGAATATTCAGATGCACAATTACTGGGGTCAAAGGATAGCAGAGGAAAACATCTGTAAAATCCTAGGTATATTTTAATAGCTCTGTCATCTACATTTTAGCCTAATATGCCTTACGGGCTGAGGGAGCTTTTCCCTATATCTATATAACAATTATGAACAAGATGTTATCATTTTATCTGGAGGCAAGAACATACAAAGGAGAGTCTACCTTCCTTGGCTTATGGGTGGATTTCCCAATGTGCCTACTAGCCTAGCTGATCCAGACAGGTGATGGGACTAAGTATGCTATAGGACACTGGGTTAACACACACAAGTCAGGTTTGCTGCTTCTCTTCTCCAAAAATCCTTCAGAGTACACGCAAAGATAAATGTGTAACTCCACCAAAGAGTCTCAGATACTTTGAAGGGGGACTACAGATTAAAGAGAAGTCTCAGGACTTTCATCTCAGGATAATCACTTATGTGATCCCACCCAAAATCCCACTTAAATAGAAGAAAATATATAAACAAATACATACATCTATAAAGATTTAAAAATAGGCAAAAGTAGATGAGAAATGTCTGAAATTTTCAGAAGCAGCACAGGCAAGAATCCTAGCTGACTCAGCAGTACAGAGGGAGTACAGAGAAAGTTAAAACCTAAGAATCTGCAGGGAGACTCTTGCCAAGGAAAAACAAACTGATTTGTCCTCCAAAAAGCTCTCCAAAGCTCTCAGGAAGTAAGAATACAAAGAATCATGAAAGCAGAGTGAAGTATGGGACATAAAATGAAGAAACTAGTTGAAAATCTGCAGAATAGTTAGACTGACTGATCTCCACTCCTACTGCTGGCAGCTAAGTGACAATCCCTTCTCCAACCCCACAAAAGAAGGAAGGTGTATGTTCTTTGGAAAACACAAACCAGTAATTTTAAACTCAGCTAAGTTATCCATCAAGTTTAACGGTAAACACTTTCAAACTTGTAAGTCTTAAGAAATTTCTTCCAATACACAAACCAGGATACGCTCCACCAAAGAGCATATCCTGGTTTGTGTATCTCCCAGTAAGACTGTGTATCCCCCCATGTCAGATTTCTTCTTCTTTCAGTAAGAAATCTAACATGGGGGGAGATAATCTAATGCTCAGTGATGATAAAGGGAAATCCCAGGATAAGAGCTGCATATACACACCTCCTACCCCAGCCCAGATTGGGGTAGGAGGAAAAAAAGTCTCGGGAAAAAGAGTAAGGGTTGGGGTTAAGAAACAGAGTAACTAGTATTTTTGATCACAAGGAAAATTATATTGAGAGGATGTTAGCTAGTGTGTGAGGAAAGTTAGTGAGAATATAAAAAATAAGCAAATAAAAAAGAGGTGATTATTAACTCCTGGAATATATTAAAAACTTGTTTAAGAAAGAAATGTAGTATATTACTTAACTTGATGTTGAAGAATATCCTGCATGTAATGAGGTAAGACCCATGAGGAATTAAAATTTGGGCCCTATTTAAAAAGAATGGATTTACATATATCTTTTAATTAAGAATTTTGTATATAAAAGGAGGCTACCCATTCTTCAAATATTCAGTAGCTGGGAGATCCTGTTTTATGACTCTACAAAATTATTAATACCTTTCTCAGGGGAGATAACCCAAAGAGGGGGAAGGGTTAGAGAAAATGTTGTAAAGTCAGACAAGGGCTGCTTATAAAGGCAAGTTTGTCTCAACCATGAAAATTTCATGGTCATGACTATTTCCTGCCCAGCAATATTTTGTGTTCTCTGATGGGACATTCACCCTCATTAACAAAAACCAGCCCTGACTTGACTCCTGAATATTGTACCCCTGTTGTTAGGACCTGATGTTTGTGTCTCCCCAAAATTTCATATGTTGAAGCCCTAACCCCTAATGTGATGTTATTTGGAGATAGGGGCCTTTAGGAGATAATTAGATTTAGATAAGGTCCTTATAAAAGAGGAGAGGTCCAAGCTTGCTCTCTGCCACACAAGGACACAGCAAGAAGCCAGCCATTTGCAAGAGAGGAAGGGGGTCCTAACCAGACACTGAATGCACCTGCATCTTGATTTTAGACTTGCCAGCCTGCAGAACTATGATAAACAAACTGCTGTTGTTTGGGTCACCTAGTCTACGGTGTTTAGGTATGGCAGCCAAAGTGGCTACACACCCTCCTAGGAAGGGGAGGCTGCAAAGCACACTCTTGGTAGCATCATCTGTGCTGTTTTATAGGCTTCTGCATCTGAAAACAGGCAGTTAGCAGAGAAAGCCCATGCACTAGCCCAAGAACAACCATTAGAACTCCAGAGCCCAAAGCATGGAATGAGACCTTGGTAGTCCTTTCTCCAGCTTTTCTGATACCTAGTTCCTAAACAGAGGACCATAACATTTGACTGACCTTTCAGCTATCAGCCACGGGTTGAAAGAGCCTATGGCCTCATGTGATATGATCCGGAGATACTGCTCAAAACGGCTACAGTAGTCACCAATGCTGTGCCGCATAGACGGTGGGACAAACAGGAGAGCTTGGCCTTCTTTCTGTCGAGAATCTTCTACAAGGGAGAGAAGGGGAGCCTCTCTTTTCTCTGATCTCTCCTCTGTTCCCACACTTTCATCCAAGGAACTGAGAACAAATAAAAATGAAAGCATTCAAGATCATCAGCAAGGCTAAGCTGTCAATTTATCCTCATAGTTTGTTTTGTTGTTGTTGCAGTTGGCCAGGGCTGGGTCTGAACTCACCACCCTCGGTACATGGGGCTGGCGCCCTACTCACTGAGTCACAGGCGCCACCCTCATAGTTTGATAACCAAAGATTCACCTTCACTTTTATCACACTGAACAAAACTCAACAGCTTATCACCGTTCACTGTTTCCCTTTTAATGCTAGGCCAACCCTTGACATGATAGGAACACCTGTCCCTTAGACAAAGGAGTTAATAAAGCAAATCTTGCAGTTAGTATCAGTGTAACCCATAAGTACCAGAGTGGTGCTTTCAACAATATAAAACAGCTAAATGTGTTTGAATACTGAAAGTTCCTTAGGATGCAACACAAGCTTACATGTTATTTTACTGATATATCTTAGAGTTTGGCAAGATCTTGCTCAAAATAAGAATTTCTCTCTGTCTTACGGAAATTGAAGGAATTCAGAGTTTAGCAACACCAAAGGCAACCAGGTAGAATGAAACCAGTGGGCGCCACTTACTTGCCATTACAGGGCCTTTCTAACACGATGTTTACAGTTGGTTCCTTTTGAGCTACTGTCTTTGTGATCATGATTGGATGAGGAAGCAAAGGCTTTTCACTTATTGCTGGGATCTGTTGGTCTAGAAAAGGAGAGGCATAAAACGACTGCATATAATGAAAAGTCAGCATCCATATTAGAGCTGTCATAGTGGCCAAACCTGCAAAAAAGTCCTGTCAGTCTCTTAAGCACCATGGGCTTATCTAGCAGTGCCATGGGAAAAATGCCCTTGTTTTAAATGCTAAGGTGAATTTAAAAGTTACAAAGAAATAAACCAATGAGGAATCAGTTTTAAGAAATGGTAAACTCTTTGCAAAGCCTCTGCTTGCTCTGAGAAGACTTTTTGAAGAGGTCTATGCAGGCTTTGAGGGTTCCATTAGGACCCTGCCAGCCACTCAAGGACTCTTAAGCAGTTGGGCTTACTTTTTGACCTTTAAATGCTTTGATTACTGAAGAAAAAAAACCCACTCACACCTGAACACTTAATTAGAGGATTTAATTTGTCTTTGGGCACTGCTAAAAAAATGTGCATGATGATAGTCAAAACATTAACTTATTAACTATACTGAACATGCTTGACAGCTCTTCTGAGTTTTACATTATTGATACTTTTAAATATATTTCAAGTATAGGAAGAAAATTGTCCTTAAGTAGGAAGCATCTCTATGTCAAACAATTTTCTCTAACTCACATTTATCTGCTTATGATTTCTTACTGTCAGAAACACTGCAGAAGTCAGTTTTGCAAAACTATTCAATTTCATTGTTCGTACAGAGGATAAGAGATAGAGACACTACACATTCCAAAGATCACTTTAAATCTGGTTTTTTGATTCAATTAAACAAACAAGCAGAACAAGTGGAAACAGAATTCTTACTATGATTTTATGACTCTGGAAGTGTCCAAAAATTCATTTCAGTTCTTAGTGTTCTGAAGAGCTCCTTTTAAGTGCATACCTAGACTATCTGCAGAGTCACAGATAGTGACTAATCATTTAAATCATCCTTGATAAAAGAGAACATTAAGTCTTCTATAGGACTATCTTGTACATGATGTTACCTAACTCTGTGGCCAAGGGGCCAGATTGCCCTTCAATGTCTGTCCTTCCTCAGCTTCCACACAAAAGAGTGGGCTAGAATGCCCACTGATGGACTAAGCCATAATGAGAAGGGCCCCTGGCTGCGGGAGACCTCTGCCAGATGCAGTGAGGGCATACTGACTATGACAGACTCTCCGGCTTCAAAGAATCTGTGGCTGACTTGGAGGAAGAAGATACCTTCACAAATCATTCTAACACATGGGAGAACATGCCAGAAAGTGCTATGAGAATTCATGTGCAAAGGAGAGAAGAAGGGAACAAAGTTCCAGTATGGGGACACTGGGGAGCACTGCACAGGCAGAGTAGGATCATATGAGGAAGGCCTTGGAGAACAACTCAGCTGTTACATGAGGATGAAAATGGAGGCCAAGAAGGGTTGGAAGGAAGAGAGAACAATATGAGCAAAAATCGGAGTGCCTGAAAACACAAAACACATAAAGGAACAAATTGGAGTTTTGTTTAGACTGCTCATCTTCCTGTCAAAATTTGACAAGGAGAATACTTTTTCTAGCACAAAACTCCAAACTTGCATTTTAAAGTAATTACATGTGACATACGCTGATGTTATAAACACTCTATACCCCCAATTTCCTTTACATCTTAGTAAGCACAGCATTTACAGTGCTTAAATTCCTTTAGAGGTAACTTCTCCTCCTGTCATTAAGGCATAACCAGTAAGCATGGGTCAAAGAGAATTGAAGCAACACTCCTAACCAAAAATGAGTAAGTAGTCAAAATGCACATGTATAAATTCCGAAGAGAAAAGCAAAATCTTACCTACAAGTGATGCTAGAAGAAATGCATATCCACTAGGAAAACCAAAATGAACCTCAATCTCTACTCAAGTCATACACAACTTTTATTCAAGATGGATCACAAGTCTAAAAATAAAAACTAAAACTATCAACTTTTGAATCTTTTTTCAACTCTAGGGTAAGTAAAGATTTATTAGGTCATAGAAAGCAAAAAACATACTAAATAAAACTGATGTGATTTTATGAAAATTAAAAATGTCTGTTCATAACATAACACCTTTGAGAAAATAAACAGGTGAGTCACAGATGGGGAAAAATATTAGCAAAACATCTATGAATGGGTTACTGGCTGCCAGGGGTAGGGAAACGGAGAGCAGGGAATGACTGCTAATGTATATAGGATCTCTTTTTAGGGATGAATTTTCTGGAATTAGACAGTAGTGATGGCATACAACTTTGGGAATATGCTAAAAACTACTGAATCATATACTTTTAAAGGGCGAATTACAGGGAAGACATAAAGTTCATGTGCAATTTACCATGTTAAACGATTCTAAATTGCACACAAATTTTATATCCACCTGTATATCTCTTTAAAGTTATTAAAAAAACAGGAACTTATATCTGACAAAGAACTTATACCCAGAATATATAAAGAATTCCTACAACTTAAAAATAAAAAGACAACCTAATAAAAAAAAATGAACAAAAGATTTTGGATACTTCACAAATGAAACTATACAAATAGCTAATAATCACTTGAAAAGGCTTGAAATATTATTCAACAAGAAAATTAAACTAAAACCACGAGATACCATAACCCCCTCACCAGAATGGTCACAATTATATAAAAGACTGACAACATCCATGCCTGCAAGGATGCCAAGCAGCAGCTCAATACAGATGGGAGCGCTGATGCCAGTGTAAAATGGAAAAGCCACTTCAGTAAGGGTTTGGCAATTATTAGAAAGTCAAACACACACCTATCTTATGACCTGGTTAAGTCTACTCTTAGATATTTACCCAAGAGAAATAAAAGCTTATGTCCATGCAAAAACTATACATGAATATATTCATTGCAGATTTATTCCTAATAGCCCAAAACTGAGAAGCAGGAAGAAACAAGGAACAGATTCCCCACCCCCACCCCCCAGAGCCTCCATAATGAACTAACCCAGCCAACACCAGTCCTTTGAGACTAACTTTAGACTTCTGACCTCAAGAACTGTTTAAGGAAATAAATTTGTGCTTTAAGCCACTAACTGTGTGGCTTAAACTTATTATAAACTTAAATTTGTTAACAGCAGCAACAGAAAATAAGCCACATAGACAAATCTATAAAACACTAGGCTGAATAAAAGAAGTCCAGGCAAAAGAGTATACACTGTATGACTGGCATTTATACAAAGTTCTAGAACAGTCCAAACTAACTAAAAAGGCATAAGGGTTGGCTGGTGGTGGGGAACTGACTGGGAAGGGGTGTGAGGAACTTTCTGAGGTGACAGTTCTATATTTTGATGGAGGTTTAAACAAGCAGGTATCCATCTGTCACAACCCACCAAATGACACAGTATCTGTACATTTTATTATATGTAAATTTTACCTCAAAAGGAAAAAAAACTATAAACAAATATTAAGCTCTATTAATGACATGCATGTGAATGTTTAGCAGTGAACTACACTGACATCTACAACTTACTTTGAAATGAAAAGGTAGGAGGAGTTTGACGGATGGATACAGGGATAAACAGATACCGATCAAGCAAATAGAGGAAAATGTTAATTGTATAAGCCAAAAGGTAAGTATGTGAATATTTACTGCGCAATTTTTTCAACTTTTCTGTACATTTTAGGTTTTTCAGAATAAGATGCTGGAGAAAAATACGTGTGAAACATTTACCTTTTTTTCCTTCTTGTATCCAAATACGAGGATCAGCATATACGATTTTATTATATCTTTGACGAACTGTCTCCTGGTATTTCTTTAAAAAATAAAGTTTAATTTATGAGAAAAAAATGAGTTTCATAACAAACCAGAACTTTTAAAGATAAAAAGTTCACCAGACAGAACTGATACAGACACATTGCCAGAAACAGGCATCTATCAGGCCAGGAAGTAATTGGTTCATGAGGTGAAGTCTAAAATAAAATGAAGCAATTAACATAGCTGCAATCTAGACCAGCGCTATCCACTAGAAGTTGCTGCAGTGATGAAATGTTCTATATGTGCACTGTCCAGTCCAGTAGCCACAAACTACACATCACCTGGAGTGTGTTTTAATTTAATTAACAGACATTTTAATGGGCACATATGACTGATGGCTACTGCTTTGGATATCTCAGATCTATACAGCTATCCCTAAGAAGGAGAAATTGGTTACAAGAATGGAATAAACTACATTATCTTTAAATTTTCAAAACCCAGCTAGGCGTGGTGACTCACGCCTATAATCCCAGCACTCTAGAAGGCCGAGATGGGCGGATCACCTGAGTTCACCAGTTGGAGACAAGCCTAAGCTAGAGTGAGACCCCATCTCTAAAAGTAGCCAGGCATTGTGGTGGGTGCCTGTAATCCCAGCTACTCAGGAGGCTGAGGCAAGAGTCCAAGAGTCTGAGATTGCTGTGAGTTATGATGCTACTATACTCTACTGGGGTGACAGGGGACAAAGTGATACTCTGTCTCAAAACAAAAAAAATTCTGCAAAGCAGAAATCAGATTTTATTATGGTGTAATTTTTTTTTTCTTTTAGAGACAGAGTCTCACTTTGTCACTCTCAGTAGAGTGCTGCGACATCACAGCTCACAGCAACGTCCAGCTCTTGGGCATGATCACTTACTGGATTACATATCAGATAGTTTGCTGAATACTCTAGGCCTTGTTTTATCCTTAAACACGCCCTACTTATCAGAGAAGGTGACATATCAAAGTCATACACCTTGCTGGCAGCAGAGCTGAGACTGAAAACCAGGCCCATGTGACTCTGACGCATGGCACTCGGCTGAGGCCAGCCCCCACTGGCAAACCAGACCAGGAGCCCCAGACCTTACTTCCATTTCCTCCATTCGGAGCATCATGATCTCCAGAGTTGGACTGTCCTTGCTGTCCTCCAAGGTGGCTAAGGTTTTAGATCCCAAGATCTTAGCATGAGTCATAGCCCAGAGCTCCTGAGCAGTATCCTCCAAAAAATCATCCAGCTGATGAATATTATTGGGCATAGAATCAATAGCTGTAGCCTACAAAACAGGGGGGTTGGGGGGGTGACACAGGAAAATTTTAAGATTATTGCTTGATCATAATAAAACAACAGCATACTGATCCAACTGGCAGACTTTCTATGGTAAAACAAACCTCTTCCAAGGCAGTAAATATCAAAAGCAAGACTATCAGTACAATTTTTATAACAGTCATTTAAATAGCAGCATTAACCAAATAATACCATTATTGTCTGTGTAAATTATCACTGTTGTCTGTTTTGCAAGTTGATAGAACTACCTTCCTTTTGCTATATTTAGGAGAATGTCCAATATTTCACATATCACACATTCCAGAGTCTAGTGCCTTTGTAAAAATGACCATTTGTGGCTAGGTGCAATGGCTCACACCTGTAATCCTAGAACTCTGGGGAGGCTAAGGCAGTTGAATTGCTTGATAGGAATTCAAAATCAGCCTGAAAAAGAGTGAGACCACATCTCTGCTAAAAATAGAATAACTAGCCAGGCATTGTGGTGGGCACCTGTAGTGTCAACTACTTGGGAGGCTAAGGCAAGAAGGATCGCTTAAGACAAAGGGTTTCAGGTTGCTATGACCTGACATCTCAGCACTCTAGCCTGGCCAACAGAGTGAGACACTTATCTCAAAAAAAAAAAAAAAAGCCTATTTGTGACAAGATCAGGATTCTTTGTCTTTGAGACTCTATACCTATAACATGGGACAGCCTGGCCACCTTTCTTGACTTTGAGTCCTTTATATTCACAAAGCACTTTACAGTTCACAAAACATTGTATTTTTCTTAATTCTAATAGATGCCTATAATCAGCTCTGAAAGAGGCTTTTGGAAAGATTATCTGCTGAGGAAATTATTGTATTAGGCGATAGAATGAGATATTTCCGTAATTAAATCCTGGTTCTGCCCACTCAAGCCTACAACTTTGGGCAAGTTTATTCAACCTCTCTGGGCCTCAATCCTCTCATCTGTACTATGGAAGTAATAACCTTACAGTTCAGAGTTGTAAGGATTTCATGATAGCTTGTATGGTGGGATACTTAGCACACTACTTGGTGTGAAGTAAGATACTCAATTTACAGCTACAGCAATTTAAGAAGTATTTTCATAGATCACAGAAGACAATATATTAATGGTCAATAAAGATACCAAAAAAATGTCCAAACCTAATTAAAGTTAAATAAATAAAAAATAAGTTGACTATGATTTAATGAAAAAATAAATAAATAAATAACCAAAAAATAGCCGGGCGTTGTAGCAGGCACCTGTAGTCCCAGCTACATGAGAGGCTGAGGCAAGAGAATCACTTAAGCCCAAGAGGTCGAGGTTGCTATGAGCTGTGACACCATAGCACTCTACTGAGGGCGACATAGTGAGACTCTGTCTCAAAAAAACAAATTAAGTTGAATAACCAATAAAGTTGCAAAAAATATACAGACAACCAATAATACAGGTCTAGTTAATTAAGATATGTGTATGTGTTTCCATGTGTATATATGTATACTTCCTATCTATAAAGAATGAAATACCAAAAATTACCATGTGCCATTAAAAGGAGAAAGGAGGTCTCGATGTGCTGGTATGGAAAGAGCACCATAAAGGAAGAAGCAGGATACAGAACAGTAAGGGGTACCTGTTTGTGGTGAGCTGTAACTTTCTATATTATACTTTCTCTGAATTATCTGAATTTTTTGCCATAAGTATATATAACTTTTAACTTTTTATAAAACCTCATCCATTTAGGAAAATATATTTCTTATGCGGACTTAATGACAAAGGTAGCAGTAACAGACACATCTGTTGTAACAGGACCCTTATAAGAGTGTTTTCCTGATGGCAAAGATCATCTTGTCTGTAAGCAAATCTGCTGAGAGCTATATTTTACTTGCAAATGTCTTCTCCACTTTAAAGTTGAGAATTCTGAAAATCTGTGTTCAAGATCCCACAGCTCTTTCATAAGTTAACATAAAAACATTTCCTACTTCATCATGCCAACTTCTATGAGTTGTCTGTTTGTTTTTATTCATTTCTTTTTAAACACTGACTCTTGATGGTGCTGCCTGGAAAACTCTTTGCAATATATTGGTATTTAACAACAGCCCCAAATTCCAAATACTAGTTACTTTTTTCTTTGAATAAATTGAAACCATTTAATGCCGATAAAATAATTCTTATATATAAAGCTGATCATTCCTAGCTATATTCAACTATGTCTAGTTCACTGTCAACATTTATATTCACTTCATTTTCTTTTATATTAAAATGCAGTATGGAATTGTTTCCCCAGGTTAGATGTTAGCTTTGTTATTTTGTGAGGAAAAAAAATATTGTTTAGTTACTATGCTGCACAAAACCCCAAGCCATGGCATACCTGAAAATTTATAAAGGCTAAATGTAGGCTTTTAGCTTCCAGTCTTATCCTCACCTCACAGGAGAATTTGTTACAAAATATTGGGTATGATAAAATTATGTTCACAGAGATTATGAAAATCTACAGCTAAAATATTGCTTAATAACTAGAATAGGGGTTGAGCACCTGTAGCCCTATGGTTAGAGCACCAGCCCCATGCACCAGGGGTGGTGGGTTTGAACCTGGCCAGGGCCTGCTAAACAAACAAACAAAAAAACTAGAATAGGGATATAGTCTCAAAACCTATTTTCTTCCTATTCCTAATGTCATTGGACTAGTGGAACTTCATTCCAACTTCCTTCTAACTTTGAAATCTCTTTACTTGCTCTGCCCTTTACATGCTCTGGGCAACAAACGCAATAAAGGTCTTTGCAATCTCCACAAAGATTAAGTAAATGTAACTTGTACCTTCCACTCTTCAGCCTAAGCCTAAGCAAGGTAGGAACATTCCCACAAATACTAAAAACAAGTCTTCCCTAGGAAGAGTCCAGGGTAGACACAACAAAATGGTTTTATTTTTCTCAAATGTTCTCATTTTTTTCCCTGGGCTGTCTTTTCTTTCTGTTAGGCCAGATACTGGTCACATATCAGGCACTCAAAATATGCTTGCCTAACAATAAATATTAGGGCCTAAGTATAAAGGAAATTAGGCCAATAATGAGTGAAACTAGGATGAATGAAAGAAAATGAGGGCAGCTATTCTTCTGCCACAGGCCATCAACATTCAGGGCCACTGAGGGTACCCACACTCTCTCATCAAGAGAAGAGATAAAGAGCTACTGATGAATACGGTGGCTCTAGAGATTTCTGTGCATTGTTTGCAAGGCTGATCTAAGTCATAATGCTAAAATACACATGGTAAGAATCAACATGCCAAATGTGAAAAATAATTTTCGCCTTTCTTGAGTAGGATAATCTAGTGTTTTCAAAGTAATCTGCATGCCATTTTCATTACAAATGAAGACATTATCATGCACAAATGCCAGAATATCAACACACACCACACAGACCTCCCGTTCAGGCTGGGCTGGCGCTGTGTTCACTGATGAACCATCCTTCAAATGATTATTTGCTTCTGCAGAGGAACTGACTCTCTATTAAAACAGAGAAATATATTCATGGATTATAAAAATTTGCAGCTCACATTAGTACAAATGAATTGTGTTACCAGAATAACTTTTGTGTGGACCTATTTATCAGCTTTAGCCACATCAGGCTTTTTGCAGCAATTCAAAGCCCTTTGTTTTCATGAAAATAAATGCCACGTGTTGATTTTGGTTTTCCGCTCTTTCCCCCCCCCAACTTTGTAAACAATGTCAGAATAGCTGTGTGCTTTTTATACAAGTCATTCAACTTCTCTGTTCTATAATTTCCTCAGTGATACAGTGAGGAAATTAGACAATTCCATCTCTAAGATCCTTCCTTAGCCCTGTACTCCTGAGATTTCCATGGACTAATAATAATTTATCAATTCTCAATCTAGATACACATAACTTCAACGGTTTGTTCAGGGACCCAGAATGGCACTCATTCCATTTTACTTTGTAATATTCTTCTGTGGTCTCATCTATTCATTCGTACAAACAAGACTGTGTCTATTTACAGGGAGCTCTCCAGGGTCTGGCTACAAAATTTAGCTTACTTCCTATAGAAGGATGGCACAACCTATTGGTGAGACATATGTAATTTCATCTTTAAGAAAATATTCGTGCATAGATGCTGTCCTAACATCTCTCTCCTTCGGAAAAATAGAGCCAATCATTCCAAACCACTGAGGTGAAAGAGCACAACATTAAAATGGAAGCAATTAACTGAACACTAACATCACGAACAGATGTATTTGATTAGGAATGAAGACTGCAATCTATACTTGCTCCCCAAACCACAACTTCACCTTTTTCAAAAGTGGGACTCTTCTCTTTTCCCCTTATCTCTATCCCTTCCCCACAATGCAGGACAGATCAATAATGTGTGGTGGTGTGGGGGTGTCCTCCAGCTGTCAACAGTGTAGTAATTCTTTTTACTCTAAAACTCCCCAAAGGTGAGAAAATGAGATGAACCAAATTACCTGGGCCGTGACTAAGAGAGGCTTCAAACGATCCAGAACTGCTTCCTCAACCTTGTCTGCTAACTGGGTGGCAGAAATACTATTTAGAAATGAAACAGAAAATTAAAATCCAAAGCATCTTGATATCATATTTTGCATATTTATTTGTCATTCCAAATGAAGGGAAATCAAATGATTATAAAAACTAAAGAGCTGCTCTAAACGTTAATAGCCACATAAATCTCCTGGGGATCTTAATAAAACAGAGATTCTGATCCAGTTGGTCTGAGTAAAGCCGAAACTCTCCTGATGCCGCACCACTGGTCGTGCACCTTGCCTTATGTACGGGGTTTTAGTAAAGATCTGAAGAAGCCTGTTAGGCACTGAGTACACTTTGAAAAGATAGTGGTTGCCTTTAAACAGCTAAAGAAGACTGAATAAAAGAAACTAATGTTGTGCCCTCCCCAAACCCTACTAAAACAGTGGCAGAGTTAATATCAACCCACAAAGACAGGAGAAATAAAAAATGGTGCTGGAAAACAAAGGACAAAAGTGATACCTACTTTAGCTAACCTGAGAAAGCTCACTTCTAGGCCAGTGATGGGAAAAACTGAGAACCCGCACAATTCGCCCTTCTGACTTAACCAATGACTGGTAGTAGCAGCTACATCTAGGCCTGGACTATGCTGGGAGGGGGTAGCTTTAAAAATTAAAAACAAAAGTCAAGTGGTATATGAGAAGTTACACTCTTAGGTTTCTTTCCCTAGTTCACACAATTAGGGAACTGCCTAACTCCAACTCTAAGAGAAGTCTGGTTGCTTATTCTCTGGAGGGTCTCTTGACCAAGGACAGTCAATCACAGTTGAGGCTGTAGGTTCCACACTGAAAAGAGGGGTATCCTGTGGCATGCAGAATGCTGAGTGGTTGGACTTCCCCACTCAGCTCCTAGGACCCTGACATCCAGAACTTTACTCTCTGGTCAGTCTGACCTGACCCAAAGGAAAGAGCTAATCCATGTGAAGGTCCTTAACAAACAGTTGGTGTAGATGACCCTAAAGTGCAAGTTTGTTAATCCTTTCATTTGATGGTCCCAGAATAGCCAGATATTCAGGACATCTCATACACAGAATGGATTCAAAATGGATCATAGACATAAAAATAAAAGCTAACGCTATAAAGCATTTTAAAGAAAACATAGGACAATAGCCTTGAGACTTCAACACAGGCAATGATTTCTTAAGAGAGTTCACCAAAAAAGACCAACCATAAAGGAAAAATTGATAAACTTGTTTTAATCAGAATTTAAAACTTCTAGTCATCAAGAGACACCATTTAAGAAGATGCACAGGCAATGACCAGGCACATTACAAGGCTCATGCCTATAATCCCAGTACTTAGGGAAACTGAGATGGGAGGACTGCTAGAAGCCAGGAGTTTGAGACCAGCCTGGAAAAACAGTGAGAACTCATCACTATAAAAAATAAAAATAAGACAAGTCACAGTAATGGGAGAAAATATTTGCTATACATATATCTGGCAAGGGGCTCATATCTAGCAAATACAAAAAAAATCAAATCAATAATTTGAAAAAAATAATAAAAATTGAGCAAAAGACACTTCACAATAAGCACTAGAAAAGGTGTCCCTTACTGTTGGTCTTCAAGAAAATGCAAATTAAAACCACAGGAGATACTACCACATTCTCATCAGAATGACTAAAATTAAAAAGACTGACAGCACCAAATATTGGAACAATATGTGGAACTAGAGAGGAATGCATTGCTGGTGTGAGTATAAAATTTATAACTACTCTGGAAAATGTATTGGCCAGTTTAATAAAGTTAAATGGCTGTGTAACCTATGACCCAGAAATTCTACTCCTAAGTATTTATCCGAGATGAAACAAAAGCTTCTTTTTACAAATAGCCTTGTGTAAGGATGTTTATAGCAGTTTTATTCATACTAAATAAAAATGAGAAACCACTCAAATGTTAATTCATAGGAGAATGAATAAACAGAATGTGTTGTTGTCATACAGTGAAATACTACTCTGCAATAACACAGATAAACTTACTGATACATGTGTGACATGGATGAATCTCAAAGACTTTGTTGAGCAAAAGAAACCAGAAACAAAGGAGTAGACCTTGATGATTCTTTTAATATGAAGCCCAAGAAGAGCCACAGCCACTTACAGTGAAAGAAACCAGAAAGGAGCTGCCTCTGTGAAGGACAGGGGTGGTATGGGGTAGGGAATGACCAGAAAGCATATGTGGGAGCTCTCTGAGTAGATGGACATATTCTTTACTTGATGATGACTTTAGTTATCCAGGTATATACATTTGTCAGTGAAATGTACCTTTAAATTCCTTGCATTTTACCTCATGTAAATTATACCATAATAAAAAGGTAGCAGGAAAAACTGCTAAAACTAAAATGCTAATTCCAACCCACATGCTCAGAGTCTTTAATCAGTAATCAGTCCCCTACATCTAAACATCAGAAGATAGCTAAGGAGTATTAGATAACTGAGGAAGAAAAAGAAACAGATTATACCAGGCAAAGGGAGAAAAAAACTATTGTTAAAATACTCACACAAGAAGAGAATTGCATTGTATCCATGAAAGAAGAATAGAAGACTATTAAGAGAAATCTGGAGAATATAATAGAGCTCTTAAAATTTAAAAATGCTATGGAAGAAATGACAAACTCAACAAGCAGATTTTATAATATATTTGAAAAAATCTCCTGCTGGGGCAGGGTGAGAGTAGGGAAAGGACAGAGAGAAGAGAAGAAAAGAGAGAAAGAAAGAAAATAGGAAAAAAAAGTAAGAAAATCAGAGGACTGGGTGGTGCCTGTGGCTCAGTGAGGAGGGTGTCAGCCCCACGTACCGAGGGTGGTGAGTTCAAACCCAGCCCTGGCAAAACTGCAACAACAACAACAACAAAAATAAATTTAAAAAAATAATAATTAAAAAATAAAGTTTTTAAAAAAAAAAGAAAATCAGAGGACCAATTTGAGAAGTCTAACACCAAGGAACAAGAGTTTCAGAGAGGATAAGAGAGAACAAAAGGGAAGAAAAACCAGTGCAAAATAAAGCAAAAGAAATTCTCAGAACTGAAGGACATAAACTGTCACACTGAAAAATTCCACTGATGAAGGAAAATACACCCATACCAACTCCTATCACTATGAAATTTCAGAATGCTGGAAAGAAAGAAGCCTATGAGCTTCTAGAGAAGGCTAAAAAGTAGGCTGCAGATTTCTTATTGGAAATAAGACAATGAAACGATGCTTTAAAACTGATCAGACTTCTGTTTCTGCTTCTGGAATATATGTTCCTTTCCCTATTCTTCCTGTTAAATGTATCTAAGAACTCTGGACATTAAATATAAACAAACATAAGTGGACTTAGAAAAATGTAGAGAAGGCAGACCAGCTAAGGTCGCTGGGGTCCAAAGAGTGACACAGTGCTGAGTTCCCCAAGTTTTCTTCTTGCCTCATATATTTCAAACTAGGTATTAGAGGAGCCAGAAACTCTGAGAGGTGCAAAGCCAAAAAAAAAAATAAAAATAAAACAAAATAAAAAAACAAAACCTTAATAAAAGCCTGCTCTCTCTAGCCAAAGGACAAAGGAAGGGGAAACCTAGGAAGATGGAAAACCTTCAGAAAATTACTGCCCTGCTACAGCCACATACCACAGAAAAACCTAGGGCCACATCCCAGCCAAGAGCTGAGAGCAAATAAGCACATGAAAAGTCCAACAGCATCAGCTATTAGGGGAATACAAACTAAAATCACAGTGAGATACCACTACGTATGTACCAGAACATCTAAAACAGTGGTTCTTAACCTTCCTAATGCCGTAATGTATTTTCATTGTTACAAAGGGGTCGCGACCCACAGGTTGAGAACTGCTGATCTAAAAGAAAACACAGTGACACTAACAAATGCTGGCAAAAATGCAGAACAGGTGAATCCCTCAAGCAGCGCTGCTGGGGACAGAGAGCCACTCTGGAAAACAGCAGGGTAGCTGGATAAAGGAAGCAAAACATAATCACTGTCATACAACCCAGCAATTTACCCCAGAAAAAAAAGAAAACTTATGTTCACACAAACACTTACACACAAATATTTACAGAAGCTTTATTCTTAACAGCCCCAAACTAAAACCCAGATGTTCTTTAACAGGCCAATGGTTAAACAAACTATTGTCTATCTAACCATGGAATACTACTCACCAACAAAAAGGAAAGAACTACAGATAGGTGCAATGACCCGCTGAACCTCCAGAGAATTATTACTATATAAGGAAAAAAAATCCCCAAAGATTATATACTATATACCATATATATATAACTTATAACTATATATATATATATATCTTATATAACACTCCTTAAATACCAAAACTGCAGATAGGAAGAACAGATGAGTGGTTGCCAGGGGTTACTGAGTCAAGCAGCAGAGGGGCAGGAGAGAAGCAGGTGTAGCTACCTACTTCTCCTAACACCCTTCCCCATGAAAGGGCATTAGGAAGGATCCCTGTGGTGCTGGAAATGTTCTGTATCTGGACTGTATCAATGTCAATGTCCTAGTTACAATATGATACTATGGTTTCCCAAAATGTTACCACTGGGGAAAACTAAGTAAAGGCTACCCAAGATTTCTCTGTATTATAATAACTTTATGTGACTCTACAATTATTCATGAAAAAAAGTTTAATTTAAAGATACCAATAAAGATATTCTTCAGTTAAGAGTTATAGCAACAGTAAGGCTACTGGCAAATATGAGGGTAGTAGGTTTATCAGTAAACAAAGTAATTTTTAGAGTTCAAAGATCTCAAAAGATTTAATTCCTGTTAATCCTTTTCAAGAAGCTAGATTAGACATGCTCCACCAAAACGAGCCAGTAAACTGAGGAAGATTAAAAAATACATTTATGGGGCTGGGCGCAGTGGCTCACGCCTGTAATCCTAGCACTCTGGGAGGCCAAGGCGGGTGGATAGCTTGAGCTCATAAGTTTGAGAACAGTCTGAGCAAAAGCGAGACCTTGTCTCTACTAAAAATAAACTTGAGGCAAGAGGATTGCTCGAGCCTGAGTTGAAGGTTGCTGTGAGCTATGACACCATGGCACTCTACCCAGGGCGACAGCTTGAGACTCTGTCTCAAAAAAACAATTAAAAAAAAAATACATATATGGGAAACAGGAACTCTAACTACACAAGCAAGCCTGGCCTAGATTCCTGGCTTGTCTTGCTCTTTTGCTGATGAAGTTTCTGTTCCTCTCTCTCTGACCTGCTGTCTGTGAAGACACTCATCTCACCCCCACAGAAGCATCACGGGATAACCCAACTCCTCCGACCAATCTTCTTCCTGAAGTCTAGCAGACCTGGTTCCTACACAGCCCCTCCAGAAGCGGCAAGCCCTACATCTGCCAGTACTCATACACGACCTTGCTCATTCACTTCCTGAGATGGGGCTCTCAGGGAGGGAGGCACAATTCATATTACCATTCAGATTCTGTTCAATTTATTTTCCCCTGAAAATCTTCATCTAACAGTAGCCACATTGCCCTTTCCTTATTCAGTCAGGTTTATGCTTGTTTCTCAGTTTTTTAAATTAAATAATATATTCTTACATACTCTTTATGAAGAAAAGTAATGAAAGATTAACACAAGAATCAGGATAGTGGTTACCTCTGGGGGGAAGGTGATGCAACTATGGAGGGACACACTGGAAACTTACACAGCAGCAGCAATGATCTAGTTCTTAGCTTGTGGTACTGGTGCATGGGTGTTCATGCAGCAATATTTTGGGTTATACATGCACATTTAGTTTGTTCTTCTATGTGTATGATATATTTAGCTTTCAATGAAAAACATCCAAAGGGATAAATAGAGCATAAGAAATCAAGCTTTTGCCACGGGGCCTAAAAGACAAGTGGGTGGGAGTCGTAAGGAATCAAAGTTCAGCACAATCTAAGGCTGCACCTTCTAATAGCTACAGATGACCCAGAGGAGATCTCTCAGATGGTAGTGAGGACCCCATCAGAGGGTGTGTATGGATATGCTGGACAGTGACTTCATGGAGATAGTGTGAAGGGGTTGAAAGCATCAGTTAAGGGGAAAAGATCCTTCAAATCCTAAGATTCTGTGATTGGATGATTTCTCAATGACAGACAAAAAATCTTGGCCCTCTAATGATACAACCACAGTCCTTCTAACCTCAGATTGATGACTCTATGATGAATGGTGAGAGAATGCACAGATGTTTCAATGAGTGTTCTGACTGCAGGATGAATTATCATCTGAGATGAATTAATGGGCCAAATGCAGTCACTCAACTAACTCTTTTTAACAGGCTTCTTCATGCCTACAGTAAGGGTAGTAATACTCTTAGGGAGTAAATGAAAAAAGGTAACTGTATGGGCCAATAAAAAAACAAAAAAGAAAGAAAAGAACAAGAAAACAAAAGGTAACTGTATTGGAAAACCTAAGGTTGCATTCAAACTAAAATGTGAGACAAAAGTTATCTATACACTCACTCACATCATAAGAACTAGTTACCCTCCTAAGGAAGGGCATGTGGCTAGAGAAAAGTATCTTTGAGGGGAGTACAAATAAACAAAAGACTCTGATCTTTTAAATAGAACCTCCCCCAAAGTTTTAGATGTTTTTTCAGTTCTCAAACTCTACAAAGAAACATTTCTTAGCAAAGATATGGTCTAAGGTACACATAGGCATGCAGGTCTTCACCCATTCATTCATTCATTCATTCACTCATCCAGGTAAGGAAGGTAAGCTTCAACAGTCCAGGTTAGTTGTTAAACTATCTAGATCAACTAGAATAGGCAAGCATCCACTATTCTTCCTCAGAAGCAAACACATACCTCACTTTTTGGAGTCTATCCATTTCTTCAGTTTTGACTTCATTCAGTTCCTTTGTTCTTCTAGAAGTTTCAGCATCAAGCCAGTCAAGCCTAGAGAAAAGTACAAAGAGTCTCCCCAACTCTCCTCCAAGCAAAAGTCAGGACTCCCTGGGGCTCTAATCCTGGCTCCACCGTAGGCTTCTTAGGTGACTTTACGGTCCTCTAAGGAGGCAGATGGCCAATAAAAAAACTGTGGCTTGACCTATACTCAATTCATTGTCGAGACAACCAGATGATGCAGAATAGGCCGGCTTACCTTTTTCTACCTTAGGAGCAAATATTTACCTCTGTTTTTGCATTCTGTCCATTTCTTTGGTTTTTAATTCTTCTAGTTCCTTTAATCTTTTGGAAGTTTCAGCATCAAGCCAAGCGAGCCTAGCAGATAGTCAAAAGAATCAAACCAATTCTGCCTCTACAATGCAGGGTGTCATTATCACAGAAACAGACCAGAAGTTAGAATCTCCCCCTCCACCCCTGAGCACCATTAAGGGACTTGGTGGCTAAGGTAACCTCACTGTACCCATAAAGCTCTAGAGCAACAAGAAACCCCTCCAAAGGTTCAAGAAAACTAGCTACCACTTGTACTTAGGATTCCTTTTTTTTTTTGAGACAGAGTTTCACTGTCACCCTGGGTAGAGTGCTATGGTGTCACAGATCACAGCAACCTTGACCTCTTGGGCTTAAGCAATTCTCTTGCCTCAGCCTTCCAAGTAGCTGGGACTACAGGTGCCCACCACAATGCCTGGCTATTTTTTGGTTGCAGTTGTCATGGTTATTTAGCAGGCCCGGGACAGGCTTGAACCCACCAGTTTCAGTGTGTGTCCTGGAGCCCTACTCACTGAGCTAAAGCGCCAAGCCAGGATTTCTTGTTAGACTAAAACAAAGACTTTGCTGTATCTTCAAGTTTAGACAAAGAAATGGGCCCCCAGGAAAGCCATACAGGCATAGCCAGGTCAAATAAAAACAAAAGGGAAAAGTTAACAGTGTACAACTTTATAGTATGTGAAAGAGCTTTGATTCTTTTGAACATGTGAATATTACCAAATTATTTAATGGCCTATTTTCATTTTTGCTTTCCCATAACTGCAAGAATAATTTTATCCAAACAAATGCAGAGCAACCTGTTTTTACTGATCTCTTCCTATGGAATGTTCCTGCTTCATCCTCCCCCTATTTAAATCCTGCCTGTTCAAGTCCCAGCCTAATTTCCATCTTCCTCCATGAAGCCTGGAAACTCTGCACAGAAGTAACCTCTGCCTATTCTAAACTCTCTCAGTTCTTAGGTTATATACCATGTTCTATCTTAAATTACAGTTAATTATGTATCTTTTCTACTGACTATAAATAAGCAGAAGCTGAGATATCTTATTTACTCCCTTTAAAAAAATCTCCATACAGCTCACAACTGTGCCATTACAAAACTAGCAATCGGTATACCACCGACATGCACAACATTTTTGAATCAATGAAATAATAAGGAATAAAAGAGGGGCTCACTGTATGTTGTATACTTTGACAAAAATGTTTAATGATCTACATTTATACATATGAAAGAGAAGGGCTTGCTTCAGAGTCTATGTACGAGAAGCCCTTGAATTTCCAATTTGAAAAACACCAGCACATACCTGGCCGCCTCATGCTCAACAGCACCTCTCAACTGACCTTCCTCTTGGGTAACTTCTTGCTGGAGGGGCTCTTTTGTCACATCTCTAGGGCTAGATTTTACCTTTAGCCACACAGCACTGCAAACAAATGGAAAAATACCCCTTCATGATCACTCACTCCATGTCCAAAAACTCATCCAAATAGGGGCCAGCCCAGAGAAGACGAAAGCATGAAGTTAACTGTGAGTGTGAAGGGTAACATCCTCCAGCACTCAAGTCAAAGTCAAAAGGAAGAAATTTGCCTTGGCTTCAAAGAAGCAATCACTATTTTAAATGAAAAAATGGTCAATAAAGAACACCAGGTGAACTTCAACAAAATCCTGTTATAATATTTAGATAAGGATCACTAATTACATCCCATGTCATAAGGCAACTCTGTATCTTAATAAGGCCTAACACAACACTATAAGCCCCATCTGTCCCCTCCCCACCCACTACTCATTCACTCTGAAAGACACTCCATTGTATATCTGGTTTGCAATACAAACCTCAACCATTTGACACTTTTATGAGCTAATCAACTAAATGCACACCTCCATATTAATACTTATATATACAAATACAGAAAACAGAACAGAGTAACAAAAACAAAAAAAGTACATTATGAAATCAGAAGACCAGATTTGGGTCCCAGCTGTGTTACATGAGCAAGACATTAATAAATCCTCTAATCATGATTTCTTCAGCTTTAAAATGAGCACTGATGGATGAGTGCAACCATTCCTTCAGAATCATTCGGAATCTTAGGAGCAGCTCTTCCACCCAGCCTCTCCTTGTATCCTTCCACATTACTGCTTTATGCTTCCTTCTTTTTGCAGTTCCATCTCCTGATACTTTTGACTGTGTTTTTCAAGAACCATTGCCCCATGGCAAACAAGCTCCCCTAACCTTTGAACCAATTCCCCAAAAGACTATTTGTGCCTAACTAGGCCCTGCTCCCTTTCTCTCCAGCCCTGTGGAATGACAGCTCCTCATTCTCTGCGTGCTATGAATGAAGTGACAGGACAGTAACATACACAGTATCCTAACTGTCCCCCACAGTTAAGACTGTTGACGACATCTATGTGGTTTTATACTTTATAAATATCTTGATATGGAATTAAAATTATTTTAAAATATTTATTACTGCAGCAAAGATTTACTGAAAGCCTTCTGTGTGCCAAGCATTGGACATTCAAATACAAGAAAGACACAGTCCCTGGCCTCAAGTAACTAGAATTGGTTGTGGGAAGAGATAAGTGAAGGGAAGTCCACTGTCCTCCATACAATCCATGACACATGTCCTCTGGGCTGTAGTGGCCCACAGGAAGTTACTCTAACCACACAGTCAGCGAGCAAAAGAAACCAACAGGCTTCTAGACTAAAACTTCTCAGGTATCACTCACCCAAACAAGCATTTCTTCTTAATGGGAAGAATTAAGGCTGCTACTTCACTTGCTCTCTAAGCTATAGTCACTTTATCTGTGGAGGAAAACTAAAATCACATACCCAAATGGTCCTTCAAATTTTTACATACCATTTAGGAGATGCTGGTGGGGACGTGGGATTTGGAGGTATCCAAGGAGCCCTATGGTCTTTCATAGGTTGTTGGTTCATTTTTAACCTGGATGAGACTGTTGTCTGTTGCAACCTGTTCTTACCATGCGGTTGGCTTTGTTTACTTCTTTCGGCTTTGTGGGATCCCTGTAAGAGATATGTATACATTATAAAGCCATTAAAATGAATACCAAAGAAACCCTGGCCTCAACCTCTGAGTCACTGATGCTAAGTGTCTCCATGCTATGCATGAATCTGTCCAGTAAAACCTAAGTAGAAAGTGGTGCGGTAGAAACTTGGGGGAAGGTATAAATGGCACTGAGGCAACCTTGGCAGGGGGCAGGGGCTCTGCCACTTACACATACTATATATAAAATATTAATATAAAACAATTATTTATTTATAATCATTTTCCTGATTAAACCAAAACCAAACTTACATATTATTTAGAGGCAATTTACTATTAAGCTAAATTCTTAGCACCAAGCTGAATTCTCACAGGTTTAATCTGCCTTCCCAATGACCCCCATTAAGAGTTTGTTTGGGAAGGAATAAAGATTTAAGCCTAACCATTACCAGTCAATAACTGGTGATAACTGCCAAATTTTCTTTTTCTGAGTCCATCTGACAATTAAAGGTTTGCTGCAGAAACTTCTGGACGGCACTATCAAATGACAGTAACTACAGTAAGCACAGTTAGACCAGGAAGCAGTCTTCTGGCCAGTTTGCCACTGGTAGGGCCTTAAGTTCGTTGTAAACAGAAGCTTAAAAAATAATGTAGTTTCTAACCAAGTTCTAACTACCCAGCTGCCTCCCAAAGCTGTATGAGAAAGCACTTACCCTAGATGCCTTTTAATATTTAGTGATTATTATTGTTCAATATTTATCTTTACCAGGAACCAAATCTTACTCCCATCAAATCTTACACTTCTAAGTCAGAAACAGAAAAAAAATCAATTTCAAAATTGCCAATCCCAATTAGGAAGGATCTTGATGTCAAATTGGGTTAGGATCTTACTGAACAAGGACCAGAGAGAATGCCCTATTTTAGTAACATTAAAGATTTTTATTTTATATTAAAATATAAAAACAACCTAGAGCTATGCTAAGTCAGCTTAGATAATCAGACACAAGGGCTCTAGCACCCAAGTGCCTGAGGTGCAAACCCTGGCTCCACCATGCAGTAGTCTGTGTGATCTTGGACAGTATCAGATTCATACACATAAAAGGGCCAAAACAAAGGAATGATTTCATACTTGGTGTTGCCTTGTTGGCGCCACAGCATCTTTCTTCCTAATTGGCACATTCTCAGTCACAAGCTTCTTTTTCATGGCCTTTGTTTTTGCCAGGTTTAATGCCTCATCTTTGAAGTTTACACTTTCGTCTAGAATAAATGGGCCTTCTTCTGGAAAGATATCCACATCTAGTAAATCAGGCTCACTCTCCAACTTCTGGGTCACTGGACATTCTGTTTCAGACTGATACTTATCTACATGGAGATTTCAGAAGGACAAACAGAGGGAAATGCTATTCAAACCAAATCATTGAGAATGATTATCTATATACAGATAAGCTCCAAATATCTCCCCTGGCCCTGTGAAGTCAGGTGTTTTGACTTTGAAGAAGGTGTTTTGCTACTAACCTGGCTTCCTCTCTTATGAATACTACTACAGTTTTATAAGTGAAAACCTAGCTGTCATGGTTGATTCCTGACTTATTTACTCCCTTATTTACTCATATGCCTGGTCCCTTTGATCTTAATTCTGAAATATGTCTTAAACTTATTTTCTGCTACTATCCAAGACCAGGTTTGCTATTTCTTGTGACTATAATGATAGTGTCTCCTAACTGATCCCTTGTTTATATTCATACTGTCATCTGGCTACCAATATTGTTTTTCTAAAATGTAAATATTTAAATGTTGCTTCTCTACTCAAAGCCTTCAGTGGCTCCCAATTTGATATGGAATAAAGGCTGAACTCCCTAAATGACATTCAATTTGCAATAGGAAAGGAAATAAGACTGTCTTTATTTGAAGAAAAGATAAGGGTCTGTATACAAAGTCGAAGAAAATCTGCAGACAAACCATTATAGCTAAGAAGAGAGGTCAGCAAGGTTTCTGGATATAAGAAGATAGCTATACAAAAATCACTACTAATTTCACACATCAAAACAACTAATTGAAAATATAAGAGATAAAAAGTCTCATCAACATCGAAAAAAAACCTATAAAGCACTTGGTAAGAAATCTAATGAAAGATGTATACAACTTCCACAGGAAAAAAAAAAGGTAAAGGACATTAAAGAAAATTTGAAAAAACTGTTTCATGAATGAACAGACTGTACACATGTCAATTCTCTCCCCTACAGAAAGTAATCTATAATTTCAAATATATATTCAATTTAAAAAATCCCAACAGATCATTTTTGTGGCCCCCAAACAGGTTGATCAATAACATTCATATGAAGAGTAAAGACCTAAGAATAGCCCATGTAATTCTGAAAACAACAACAAAGTAAGGAGTGAGGAAGAGGCAGGAGTCTAACTCTACTAGACATAAAGTCTTAGTGATAAAGCTGTAGTATTAGGTAGTGTGGGAATAATGGCAGAACAGGCAGAAATCAATGAAACAAGATGGATATTACAAAGGCAGCATGACAAATCAGTGAGTATGAACCAGACTGTTCAAAAAACTGTGCTCAGACTACCAGTATCCATGGATAGAAAAATAAGCCTGGTTCTTTGCCTCACACTGAATACTTAAATTCTATAAGAACAAAGACCTAAATATGGAAAGAAAACTCTAAAGCTTTAAGAAGAAAACATAAAAGACTAGCAGTATGACAACAGGGCAGAAAAGACTTTCTTAAGGTCAAATATAATATTGACATATTTGAATTTAATTACATTAAACTAAAACTTGCATCTAAAGGACACCACAAAGTCAATAGATAAGCCAAAGTCTGGAAGTAGCTACCTATAATGCACATAATTAACACAGGACTAATATTCAGATTATCTTGAAAAAAATTCTACACAACTATTAGAAAAACAAACAGAGAAAAAAGCAAAGGATAGAAATTTAGGTGGAAAATCGGAATTGTCATGAAAAGATGATCAACTTCACCAGTCACCAGAAATATTCAAACGAGATACCATTTTACATCCATCAAAAGATATGGAAAAACAAGTACTCTCACAAACTACAGTGCAGGGGTAAAGCAGCCCAACTACTTTGGAGAAGAGCTTGATTGTTCTAGTAGGGTTGAAGATTCATACACACTGCAACCCAGCAATTTCACTCCTAGGTATGTGCTCAGCAGGGAGGAACCCTTGCATGGGTACACAGATGTTCACTTCATCACCTTATAAAAGCAAAATGCAAGGAACTACCCAAATGTCCACCAATGAAAAGAACTGAAAAATAAACTACGGTATATTCATATAAAGGAAACTTACACAACAGTTAAATCAGTAAGTTGAACTCAAGTATCAACATGAACAAATCTTAGAAATGGAACTAGAGGGTGGGGGGGAAGCAAACCAGAAACTTACAAACACTGGAAGATATCATTTACATAAAACTATGCCTTATATGGTTTATGGATAGGAACATAAGCAGTACAAATATAAAAACAGATCTATAACAATAGTAACCTCTAGGGAGGAGGAAGAGAAAAATATAAAAGGGACTTCAGCCGCACCTGTCACACAGGAGCTCCCCCTTATCCACGGTTCACTTTCCGCGGTTTCAGTTACCTGTCATCAGCCACGGGTCTGAAAATATTAAATAGAAAATTCCAAAAATAAACAATTCTTAAGTTTGAAATTGTGTATCCACTCTGTACATGCTCCCAGGCTGTTAGTCACTTAGTAACCATCTTGGTGCTCAGATCAACTACCTGTGTTCAAGTAATCTTTGATTTACTAATGGCCCCAAAGTATAAGAGTAGTAATTTTGGCAATTTAGATATGCCAAAGAAGCTGGAAAGCACCTGCTTTAGGTGAAAATGTTAAAATTCTCTACCTAAGAAGGAAAGAAAAAAACCATATGCTGAGGTTGCTAAGATCTGTGGTAAGAAAGAATCTTCTATTTGTGAAATTGTGGAGAAGAAAAAAGAAATTTATGCTAGTTTTGCTGTCATACCACAAACTGCAAAAGTTGCAGCCACGGTATGTGATAAATGCTTTGTTAAGAAGGAAAAGGTATTCAATTTGTGGGTGGAAGACATGAACTTCTATGTACTGTAAATGATGGCAGTTAGGCTCAGTACTAGCCTCAATTTCAGGTATCCACTGGGGATCTTGGAAGGTATTCCCCACACATAAGGGGTTGAGTACCACAAATCTGAAATGTTCCAAAATCCAGAACTTTTAAGAGTACAGACATGATGTTATAGGGAAATGCTATTTGGAGCCTTTAAGAGGGAAGGTAATTGGTGAGACCACACCTATGGTACATCTTATTAGGGTACATGTGAAACTTACTAAATGTAGAATATAAATGTCTTAACACAATAACTAAGAAAATGCCATGAAGGCTATGTTAACCAGTTTGATGAAAATATTTCAAATTGTATATAAAACCAACACATTATACCCCATGACTGCATTAATGTACACAGATATGATTCAATAAAAAAAATTACAAATAAAAATATTTATTGAATGAAAAAAAATTTTTTTCAGATGAGTGATGCTCAACTTGTACTCTATTTTATTTCTAAAATAAAATTCTGAGGTAAATAAAGCAAGAACATTAGTATTTGATAAGTCTAAGCTATGGTTACACAATGTTTATTCTTTTCATTCTTTTCTCTATATTTAAAACATTTCATAATCAAAGGAAAACTTCGTTGAGACTACTTCAACAGCAATTAAAGTCAAGGGTCAGAGTTCCCTGCATTGTCTTCTTTAACTGGGTACTTTCCAAAACTACAGAAGTTACAGAGCTAGGAAATAATAAATTGGAAGAGAAGAACAGTAAAACTGAATCTTCAGTCTGTAATTTATTTGTTAATTTACAAGTTTATATACATCAAAGCGACTCTGACTCTAGGTCGTATCTGATAACTTTTCACTTATGATTTACATAAATCAGCATGCAAATGCAGTATACGTTTCAGCAGTGAGTCTGGGGACACTGCTGGTGGTGGGAAGGGAGCCACCATCCCTACAGCTGACAAGTCATACTAATGCAAAGCAGAATGAAAGAATTAGTAGAGTGATATCTAAAACAGAAACAGGGAAATGTAACCTTCTAAAATCCAGAGCATATGGAAAAAACAACAAACATAAGTAAGAAAGCTGCCACATCCTTGAGTTAAGTGTATTCCTCATGGTCACCAGAAGAGCCAAGTCTGTCTCCTGACTTCCAGTCCCAGGCTAGAACATTCTGCCCTGTGAGGAATTATGGAGCTATTCCACATAAATACATTTTCCTGGGAATTACAGCTTACTTTTTTACAACCACAAACTCACTTTAAAATAGCCACCAAAGATTTGTTTTCTTAGAATATGCCTTACATGACTAGCCTTTTCTTAATCATTTGGGGCTATTGTTATGAACTAAAAATACCACCTTACATTTTTATAGTATTTAGTAATTACTTAATTTGCTACTTACAACTAAGTTAGTCACAAAAGACAAGGACTAACCTCTCCATTTTATAGATGAAAAAATTCAGATTCAGAGAGAGTAAGTCAATGTAGGATCATAAACTGGCAAAGCTGGGACTAGAAGTTAGGCCTTCTTGGTTTTCCACCCTTGCCTCCTGGCTTTCCTACGCTTGTTCCTGAGTTTGAGATAACAGGTTTTTCACCTTCTCTCTGAAGCTGGTTCTCCTCATGTAATTGGTGGGCACTCCTAATCTTCTAACTCATTTAGGAATCACACCTCTGCCGTGCAGGTCTGAAATGTTCTTTGCATTTCCTGCAGAGTATCAAAAGTGAGTATTCTAGAACCCAAAAGTCAAGTTACTGTGATCTGCTGCTCAGAAGTCTTTTCTTACTCACATACAAAGACAAATGGACACAATACCTGTCCTCAAGCTTGGGAAAGGCTGGCAAAGGCAGACTTCTGCTTAGAAGGCCACTGGCCAGACAATGGCTCAACCTGTAATCCTAGCACTCTGGGAAGCTGCAGTAAGAGGATTCCTTGAGGTCAGGAGTTCAAAACCAGCCTGCCCAAAAGCAAAACCTCATCTCTACCAAAACAGAAAAATTAGCTGGGTGTGGTAAACACCTGTAGTCCCAGCTACTCAAGAAGCTGAGGCAAGAGGATTAACTGAATCCAGGAGGTCAGGTTACTATGAGGCAGGCTGAGGCCATAGCACTCTAGCCTGGGTGACAAAGAGATTCTGTCTCAAAAAAACCCAAACAGGCAGATACTATGTTAATTACACGTCTCTCAATGAAAGGGAAAAAATACCCTACTATAGTAAATAACTATTTAATGATAATTGAGTAAATTAGGTTTTGTTATTGTG